GTGCAGGGCATTTAAAGGATCCGTTTTTCCCTACCCTACTTTTTACAATAATTTCTCTTCTGGGAGCCAGGCATTAAAAAGTAAAAAAATGAAAAGTAAATGCACATGTGAGAATTTGGAAAATAGCCCTGTGTGTCCAGGGAAAGGCACAGACTCAGAAGAAAGCTAGAAGAACCCAAGGACATTACTCTGATTGATTCTTGGCATAGACACACTAAAAAATGTAGCCACGATAAAAGGCAAGAAACTATAGAATGCTGGGCTGGAGAGATGGCTCAGCATACAGCAATTCTTGCTGTGCAATCATGAAAACCAGTGTTTGGATTCCAACACTGAAGTAACAAGCCAGGTGTCCTGTGATTCCAGCTCTGAGGGAACTGATGCTGTCTTCTGTCCTTTTAGCACACCTGGTCACACGCGTCCACATGCATGTGTGTACATACCATTGCACTCTCTCACACACAAATAAATAAAATAAATATTAAAAAAAGACCCTCTAGAACATTACATTCAACAGCTGTTTCATTTGGCCTTTTGAATGACCACATGCTTAGATTTATTAACAAGTGTCTAGTTTTCAGTAAAAAAAAATTATAAGGCACACAACCTCTGTCAAGGCGTGGTATGTTAAAAGAAAGAAAAATGAAATATCAGGAATGACCCCACAAACCTTTGACAGTGGCTGCACTAGGCAATTATTTCTTTAAAAGGTTTCTTTATTTAACATTAATATGTGTCTACATACATGCACATGTACACCATTTGTATGCCCTGTACTTGTGGGGGCCAAAAGAGTATGTCAGATCCCCTGGAAATGGAGTGATAGGTGTTCCCTTGTGACCTGCCTAATGTGGGTTCTAGGAACTGATTCTAGGTCCTCTGCAAGATCAGTAAGTGCTCCGAACTGCAGCGTCATCTCTCTGGGTTTAGACACAGGTTTTTTTGTTTTTTTTTTTTTTTTTAATTTATTGAGCTTTTTGTACAGTAGTGTGAAATGTACTCTTAATCTAATTAGACCTCCATTCATGCCCCCCAGCTCCCCCACGGGACTGCATGCATTCTGCCATACATGTTAAGCACTCTCTAGTCAAACATTTGTACCCAGATGCAGGTTCATCCACTGGAGTTTAGTCAGCCTATCTAGAGCCTATCTAGAGTAGGAAGCCTACTCCCCTTCTCCCAGCAGCAATGAGTCTCCAACAATTCCCAGGCTAGGCCAGCCGCCATCCATTTCCCGCGCTCTCCTCTGTGCCTTAGACAAAGATTTTTTGTGTGTTTATTTTATAGAGACTCAAATAGGTAAAAGAAGATATATATATTCAACTATATAACTATGTATCATCTATCTTATCTACTTATCTATCATCTATCTATCATCTATCTCTCTACTTATATCTATTTATCAATAGATAGAAAGACGTCAGCTGAAAGACTGTATGGCCAGAAACATAAAAGGAAGTGAAACAAAATCCTGGAACTAGAAAACATAGTAAATGGAATAAACAATTAATTAGATGGATACAATGACAGATTGATCAGACAACAGATGAAACTGGTGAATTACAAATGACTAGAAAGAGGAGGTTACTAAGTCAGAGGAACGGAACGGTAAAGATGGGAGATAAGTCAACAGTGCCTGAAGGACAAAGGGACACCTTCAGCATCTGCAGTGGGAGAGTTCCAAAATAAGGAGATCTCTCTCTCTCTCTCTCTCTCTCTCTCTCTCTCTCTCTCTCTCAAATCCTTGAAGAAATAATGAGTGAAAACTTACAGTCTGATGAAAGTCTTGCATGTGAGAAGCTCATTGAACTCCAGATATGATGAACTCAGACTCAACCCAAGACTTACAGTCAACATTTCAAATGGAGTTAGATCTAACATCACATTTAAAAAGATTTCCACCTAAGACGTAAAAACACAGAGAAAAACTTTATGATATTGGGATTGATTTCTTATAAATGACATCAAACTCACAAGCCAAAAGGGAAAATTAAGCTAACTGAACTCTAAAAGTCTGGACATCCACAGTCCTAACAGAATGATAGGGTAATCAAAAGAATCTGCAGGAGAAAATACCTGCAGGTTGTGTATCTAGTAATCATTTAGTATATTCAGAATACATCAAGAATACCTCAAACCCAACAACAGCAAATACAACCTAATTTAAATACTACTATAGGTGCTAAAAATTTCCTGCCAAAGAAGGTCTAAAACTGGCTAATGGCACATAAAGCCATGCTTACCATGTCTACTCAGGGAGATGCAAATCCTGGCTGCCATGACAAGTCAGTGAGATGGATGATTGGGTAAAGTACTTGCCACCAAGTCTGATGTATGGAGATCCATCCCCAGAGCCCACGTGGTGGAAGGAGAGAACTGACTTCTGTAAGTTGTCCTCTGATCGCCACATGCACCATGGCATGCATGTGACAGATACACACACACACACACACACACACACACACACACACACACACACGACAATAAGTGAACGTAATTTAAAAATGTTTAAACCTCCAATGATGTCCTAGCTCAAGTCCATTAAATGGGAAATAACGGAAAATTAAAGGGGTAATGACATGGAGAATTTGTGATGCTTCTGCAATGCTGTTGGGAATGTAAAATAATATAGATATTGTGGGAAACTGGGGAGTAATTCCTCAAAAAGAAAAATGGGAAATTTGAGTCTCAAAGAGGGATGTGTACAGGCATTTTACAGAAGTATTAGTCATAATAGATAAAATATAGATGCAATCCAAGTGTCCACTCACGGCTGATTAAATAGCTAAATGTTTTACATACACAAAATGAAATGCCCTTAAGCCTTAAAATGAAGGAAATTCTGGCATGTGCTACATGCATAGTATGTGTGGTGGTTTGAATGAACATGTCCTCCATAGGCTCCAAGTATTTGGACATTTTGTCCCCAGTTGGTGGTGCTGTTTGGGGAGGTCTTAGAAGGTGTGGCCATGCTGGAGGAAGCACATCACCGGGCATCGGCTTAGAGAGTTCTTAAACCTTGCCAGATCTCCAGTCACTCTCTGCTTCCTATGCCTGCTTGAAGATGTGAAAGCTTAGCTTCTGCTCCTGCTCCAGTCACCTCTGCCACCATGCCTCCCCACCAGGGTTCCCAACTATGATGAATTCTTGTACCTTTGGAACTGTAAGTTAAATAAACTCTTCCTTTTATAAGTTCCCTTGATCACGGTGTTTTATCACAGCAACAGAAAAGTAACTAAGATGGTATATAAAATAAACCAGTCACATACACACAAAATACTGCGTGATTCCTCTTACATAAGGTACACAGAGAATTTAAAGCAGTTCACATCATAGAGAAATAAAGTACAATGATGTTTACTAGAGTCTGGATAAAGTATTGGGGAGGGAGTTGTTATGTAATAAATATAGAATTTCAGTTCTATAGTACAAAGACTTATGAAGACAGCTGTTGGAGATATATACATATATATATATATATATATACATATATATATTATTACTCTAAAGTTTTTGTATTATTTATTCTTGAACAGAATAAATATAAAATTTGAAAAACAAAATGTCACCACTTTACACTTTCACACTGGCAACTTTGGACTTCCCAACTCTCTTTTCTGAAGTAGTTTTCTCTGTAAGAATAGATGTCAATGGATGGATCATTTTTCAAAGGATCCCAAGATTAACAGAAACAATAAAAAAGCAGAAGGGAAGAAGGTCTCCATTCCATTCAATAAAAAGGACAAATTAAAGGGAATAATAATAGATTAACAATTAAAACTTTCTAGAGAAGATAGGATGCTATATGCAACCATGGGCTGGACCCCTTTGAGAACTGTTCAAGAGCTCTTGCTGACTGTGGCAGGGTTGACCAAGGAACAAATGTGGCTGAGAATAATTGCTCTCTTCGTTCAGTACCTTTGACTGGTAATGGAACTTGGAGAACTTTGAAGGCACAGACTTTTTTAAGGGGGGGGGGGAACTGTGGCTAAAGTATCTGTGATACTTGTGATGAATGAACATCAGAAGACTGAATAGGTCCTACAGCACAGAGAGCATGTCTAGGATCTGGTGTGTTGGGGAAATCAGAGCCCTGACTTGCAATGTCTGTCAGCCTCCATGGCTCCTGGGACCTGATTTCATGGTCCATGTACAAGCAGCATAGAGAAAAGACAAGTGTGGTTGGCCCCTGTAAGGTACATGTTGCCTCTTAGTGGGCTGACCCAAGAAACAAGAGGAGTCCAAAGCATAAACTGTCCTTCAGGTGGTGGGTCAAGTCCTCTGGACAAGAAACGGGTTTAGAATATCCTTCACCATCAGTTATCTTTATTTTCATATTGACTATTGACTTATGGCTCCATCATATTTGCAAGAAGAATCAGCACCTGTTTCCAAATCAGCATAGACCTGCATTCTAGTCACCTGCATGTTCTGCCACTTGCCAAGTGTGAGCAAACTCACTCACTTCGACTCACAAAGGGGGTACGGCGGGTGTCACTTCTGCAGACATATTATCCCCAAAGCCTTATAAACTTCTCTGCTCCCATTTGCATCTGATCCAAACTTTACTGTCCTTCGTCTCTTTCTTCTTGCAGTTAGGAATCCATGCCTTATCTGTTTCCCAAACATATGTCCACTATAATTTTTTAAAAATATTTTATCATTTTTATTTTATGTGTATGCATGTTACGCCTGCATGTAGGTAAGTGCACCCGTGTCGTGCAATGCCCGCAGAGGACAGAAGAGGCTGTCGGATCCCCGGGAACTGGAGTTACAGACAGTTGTTAGCTGCCACGTGGGTGCTGGGATTCGAACCCGGGTCTTCTATAAGAACAGTCAGTGTTCCTAACCGCTGAGCCATCTCTCCAGCCCTGTCCACTATAATTTCATCCTTTATGTTTTGGTTCTTTGTGACTCATTACACATCTGTAACTGGTTATACAATTTTCTTATAGAATTAATGATTTATTTCTAGAATCCATTTTTTTAAAGCTCTCCGGAGGGGGTCCCCTGTTCCTGCAGATACTGCAATACCAGGTCAATGTGTGGAGTGAACCGAGCAAGCCCCTATTCCATCTCCTAGTTCCAAAAATCCATTTACTGTGTTGTCCTCGGACAGAGGATATATCAGATATTAAACTGATAAGAACAGATACTACACTTGATCTTAGCCAAAAGGCCGAGAAGCAATAGAATCCATTTTTTAATAGTTTTAATTAATATATATTTCTTGTTGGGATGATTTTCACAAACAGCAGTTTTCATTGATCATAAAGTTAACACAGGTTCTTTATAAAGTAGTTGAATTTAATTACAAATGTAAAGAAAAAAGCACACGAAAACCCATAGTATTTATCTTCTATGTCATTGATTTATGTTTTTTATGTCTATGAGTGTATTGATTGCATGTAAGCACACCATGTTGTGCAATGCCCAAAGAGACCAGAAGAGGGCATCAGACCTCTGGAACTGGAGTTTTGGACTGTCAGCCACCATGTCGGCACTGGGAACTGAACCCAGGTCCTCAGCAAGAGGAGCCAGTGCTCTTAACTGCTGAGCCCTCTCTCCGGCCCAACAGTATTTTCATACAGTCAATTATATAGTTTATATACATTATGGAGTTTACGGTTTCCATAACAAATATTTTCTGTTTCTTCATATTGCACAATTTTGTTAACATGTGTCCACATCTTCCCCATGTCATTAAAGTGCTGAAAACCATAATTATAATTAAAGGCCATTCTCCGATATGGCAGTTTCAAATTTATTTCAATTTTACAAATTTTTGGATCCTTAAGCTAGTTGCCAAGGTTGTATAATTATAAATAAAATAGCACTTGGCATCATTGTCCATTAATTTTCATGCATATAAACCACCTTGCTTTGGAGAGAGCCCTAGATATGCAATTGTTGGATAAAGGGTAAGATGACGGCAAAGAATTTGGGGACACACTGTGCCATCACGTCCACAAGAACTGTTTGAGAGGTCTGGTTCCACTTCACCACCACTGGCCCTGAACAATTCTTTCCAACAGAAAATACTTGTGTTTGCATTATTTCTGACAGCATTTCATTAGTATTTGCATTTATTTTTCTTTAAGCCTGTGTGTGTGTGTGTGTGTGTGTGTGTGTGTGTGTGTGTGTGTGTTTCTCTTGGTATCCCTTAGCCATCTCTCATTGGTGTACAGTGTCTGACCTGACCTAAAGACTCTGATGTGTGGTAGTTTGAATGAGAATGTCCCCCAGTGTCTCAAGTATTTGAGTACTTTGTCCAAGTTAGTGGCCTGTTTGGGAGGTCATGGAATCCTTAGGATGTGTGGCCTTGCTGGAGGAAGTGCGTCTCTGGGGCAGGTTTTGAGAGTCTACGGCCCACCCACCTGCACTTTGCTGGATCTGCTTCCTGCTTTGCTTGATCTGCTTCCTGCTTGGCACTGAAGATGATAGCTCTCAGATTCCTGCTTCAGCTGCCTGCCACACACGTGCTGGCCACTCGCTGCCATGCCTCTCCACTATGATGGACTCAACCCTCTGGATCTGTAGGCCAAAATTAATTCTTCCTTCTGTAAGTTGCTGGGCGGGATGACTTCAGTTGTCAACTTGGCACACCTGCGTTGAGGGATCGTCAATTGGGGAATTGCCTCCATTGAACTGGCCTGTGGCCAAGTCTGAGAGGCATCTTCTTGATGGTTGAGTGATATGGGAGGGCCCAGCCCACTGTGGGTGGTGCCACCCCTGGGCAGGTGGGCCTGTGTTACATAAGAAAGCAGGCTGAACATGGGCCAGGGGAGCAAGCCAGTAAGCAGCGTTCCTCCATGGCCTGTGCTCCAGCTCCTGCCTCCAGGTTCCTGCCTTGAGTTCCTATCTTGAGCTATGAACTGTGACCTGGGAGATATAAGCTGAATAAATCCTTTCCTCCCCAAGTTGGTAGTGGTCAGAGTGTTTTGCCACAGCAATAGAAAAGTAACTGACACAACATGCTTTAGAGATAGCTGAGATAAATCCTTTATTTGAGCCTTTAGAAACAATTTGTAAATGGAGCATCAGCCATTACCATAAAAGGGAAAACTGAGCTAAGCTGGGAATATACGGAAATGCTGTTTACAAGTCGTAATTATTACAAGGAAGAGAAATACTATCCCCCATGGCAGCCAGGACCCCATGAGAAAGGCACACTTCACTGCTGTGGGCGGAAACTGAAATCTTTTCTTTTCCAAGGACGTAGTTGGATTTCAAAGTAAAGACTAGTTCCAGAAAGTCCCCAGTGAGCTCTCTGTTGCTGTCCGGCAATATTACAGAAGAATCCTCACTAACAGTTGCTATGAGCTTCAGATACGATTTTCTAGTTCTCTCTTGGCCTCCAAACATGTTATTCGGCAGGTCAGCTCTAGCTTCACCTGGGATCTTGTTGCCAATGTCTTTGAATTCATCAGGCTTGAATTTAATTACTTTATGTAAACTAGAAAATGTCCCCAGTAGGCTTGGAGGAACAACTTCTGTATGTGGCCGCAAACTTGTGTTTTGTTTAAAATATTAGCATTTTGACAAATCCACGCTAACTTTAAACTTGTTTTTGATCTTTAGAAATTCATTTTCATTCTTGGTCTGAATTTACTTTCTTTTTTAGACAGGGTGTCACAATGTAGCTGCGGCTGTCCTAGCACTTAGTATGTAGACCTGGCTAGCCTTGCACTCACGGAGACCACCCTGCCTCAGCCTCCTGAATGTGGTGATTAAAGGTATAACCTACCATGCCCAGTACTGAATTTACTCTTTAATGAAGATAAATAGATGCTTATACAGTTTTTCACTGAATCCTACCCTGCGTCCATATCATCTCTCAGTGTTCTCTCTGTCCCCATCTTAAGATGGACTAATTGGTGGGCAAAGCCCCATGTTCTTGGGCTATCTCACCCAAAACAAACTCCAATGTAAAGAGTGTTCACAGACAAAGGCTCCCAATGTCAAGATCATCAGACAGGAGCAAAGATGGCCAGAGAAATGCTCTGGGATTTCACACCTAGACTCATCATGACATTTAAGCAGTTGTACTGTTGGACACAACTGTCATCCTCATAGTCGGGTCCTTTGTCATGCAAGTTTGTGGCCCGTCTCCTGTCGGCCATGCTGTATTTCCACCCCTGCTGTAGTTTGGACTTGACTCTGTCACCAGCTCACTAGAACTAGGTGGGCCAGCTTTATTGGGTTAGCCTAGCTTGGGGGGTTCCCTGATGTCACTATGAGAATAACTTACCCTGGCAAACTAGCCACTTCAAAGATAACAAGAGAGGCGTGTAGCTCAGAAATGCCCCACTTGGCGCGAACCTGCCAAGAGCCAGGCTGCAGCCAGGCTTCCCAGCTGAGCCATGCCCAGGTTGCTGGCATTGCCAGAGGAGGAGCCCCTGCCCTGTAAGAAGGGCCGCTAGTGACTGCTGTTCTTCCCCAGCCAGCTCTGGAGTGGGTTTAGAAACAGCAGCAGCAGATACATGCCATGTGATGTTCAGCAGCTCATACCCGCCACTTGATAAAGCTCCTTGGTTGGGAAGCAAGCTCATCAGTGCCCCTCACTTACGAGAAGGGATGTGCAGTATTTTCCACTTCTTTCCAGCTCCAGAGATGTGCCTTTTGCTGGCAACTTGGCTTTTAAGGAAACATTTCTCACCACAAATACATTTTTATTTTCCCTCGACACACTCTCCCAGCTTTCTTCAAAGCTCCACCCGAACCCTTCACTGTTTTCAGTGCCCACAGCGCTGCAAAGAGCTTGAGCAAAGAGTGGAGATGGATCAGTTCAGAAGTAAGGCAACCCTTCCATCTCCTGTTCATCCCGCAGGGGTGACCTACACCTTGGAGCACTCTGCAGCCAGCCAGGCTCGCTTACACTGTGGGATTATTCTGATTCAGTCCAAGGCTCACGAAAAATAAAATCTACAATCAAAGAAAATGCATGTGTACACCTGTCACAGGCAAGGCCTTCACACCACACCACTGTATTCACACTATCTCTGATTCCTTGCAGTACTAAAAGGTGACTATGCTTTGTTTATAATTTAAAAGTAATAATAAAAATCCACAGCCGAGTTATTCCAAGGTTTGTATTGTGGCTCAGTTTTACCAGAATCCACAAATAACATGTGGATCGGTATTTCAAAAACAGCCATGAAAATCAAAGAAAAATATCATGATAAAAATACTGTTTTAGTGAAACAAAATGGCCATTTGGCATGTAGTATGGAGCACTGCTATAAGAGGCCCAGACCCCATTAATACCTCTGTGTCACTGGAGACAAGAGTCTTAGCTTATTACAGCAGGCAGAGCTAAATTCCACCCACAAAACCTAGGTTGGGAGCAGCCATGTGTCCAAGCCTGTAATGACCAACAGAGTCTATTGTGTCAGGGCAGAGGGGCAGAGGTCACTGGGTCTGGGCTGGGATCCAGTCACTGCTGGACTTGGCTGCCTGCATCCCCAGTTCAGGACAAAGCCTAGAGCATCCTTGCCCTTAGATATTTCAGGACCAGAGCTTTCCATAGGTGATACTCCATCAATCACAATCAAGCAAATTACTGAAGTCAAGTTAATTTCTATCTCAATGACCACAACCCCCAAAGGATTCACACGTTTGTATGCCAACTCATGCCAGAAATTTAGCCACATGGAATGATAATGCAGTTACTTCTTCTGGTTTTTAAAACTGTAAGGGGAGAAATAAGGCCTCCAAGATAACTGAGTGCTGTCTTAGTATAAACTGTATGGTCTAAAATCTAATATTTGTCTACTGTATTATAAATGTAATAAAAATGTAATTTAAAACCCCATCATAATCAGCAACTTCACTACACAGAACTTATATGACAGCTATTTCTGGAATTAGGAGCGAAAATTATTTTTCTGGCAATTTTTATATCGGAAAGAAAGACGAGGATGGGAAATTAGTATTTAACTGAACCTCGCGAATGTCATTTGCTTCACATCTGTGACTCCATCTACTAGAGTAGAATGGAATAATTGCAAGAGAACAGGGGTTCTTTCTCGGCACCTGTCCATTCATACTTGAGGGAGACAGACATCTAGAGAGGTTATTTTGAGTTGATATCTGAGCCCTAGATTTAGCAGATGCTGTATTCTACATTTTATATTCAAAGTATTTACAGATCTACCAACGCAATTACGCCAAAAATTGTTATTCCTCTTT